TGGCACGGCGGCGGGCAAACAAGAATTGTTGACATACTGTTTGATACGCGAGAGTTATGATGCAATTTTTTTAAAGCGAAATGGAAATGACTCTCGGGTTAGAAAAATTATAGCTGGAAAATCATCAAATGAAATGGTTATTCCGCATCAAATTCAACGTTTCCCTTATTTTAATATTAATCACTTAAACGATTAATTTATTTTCATAGAATTATTTTTCTGTTCTATAATTCACAGCAAATCCTTGATAAAACATTAAAACGCACACGTTCCATAATTAAAATCGAAACCGTCGTTGAGCACGCGCAACTTTACGATACTTTGTCCGACGTTTGAATTTAACATAATCGTGGGCAAGCAGGTATTTGCCACTTGGCAGCCGGCAAAGGAAAGGGCGCCAACGAAGCGTAAAACGAGGGGAGACGTGAAATTTACATTATTCCCGGGGATTATTTGCGTCAAAACGTGGTGAGGCCCTGGTGGCCAGGTACATCTTTAAACCGTCCATCAATAATTGAACGAAGATACGTCGCACCAATCGTCTATTCACGCCCTGCGGAGTTTAGTGGGCGATGCAGCCGAAGCGCGAAGGTTATAGTATTACCAGCAGCCAGGGCAGGAAGATCTGTCCTTTGGCCGAGAAGCGGAGGGAATTCTGCTTTCAATGGAGGCCGGGCCCGCAAAACCACAGCTCGCTCCCTTGGCCAGTCAACCCAGAAACCTATTACTGGATTTCCTAGCGTTTTGCCGCAGCGCAGCACGGCAGCCGTATTTCGCTGCACGATATTCCCAGCTGGACATCCTTAAAACGATTTGCTGTTTTAACACGTTTTACGCAGCCTCGCGTCCAATGATTTATATACTCATTAATTGCAAAATTCTCAAATTTATTACACCCGCCCTTACGGAACGGATTTTGTGAAAATGAAAGGGGAATGCAGATTCATGAATTTCCTGGATCAATAAAAGTAACAGAGGTTGTTTAAAGTGCTTATCATAAAATCCCTTTTTGACTGCAACAAGGGGCAAAATAAGCTATAAACTGATAATGGAAGAGGCGACTCGGCTAACGCTCGAGCGCAATAAATACGGTAGGACGGGCACAATTATTTGGAACACGGCCGATATACCTGCAAGTTAGCTCGGCCCTGCCTGCCCGGCCCTGCCTGCCCGGTAATACAAGTTAAGAAGGATTTATTGAAGGTTACCACGAACTTCTGATATTATAGCGCGTAATACTCATCATGAAGATCGGCCACCATCGGCGAAACCACATAAAGCGGCTTGACCAGCCGACCTGGAAACCTATTAGGGGGGTCGCCGCGCAGTGTTTCGCCTTACAGGCTTACTTCATCGCCGCAATCGCATCAGGGGGACACGCCTTTGGCCCCGGGATCCTAAGCTATTAGCCGGGATTTCTCTTTCCTCCAATTTAAATGATTTATTTCGCGGCGAGCCGACCTATCTCCGGCCAAATACCATCCCAGCCCTCTAACATTTCCGGTGAATGCCGGCAACGCCGATAGTTCGCCCTCTGTCGCCTGTGTCTCGTGCCATCACCTTCCGCTCCTCGATACAGATCGAATCCGTTTACCTAATCTAGTTTTTATCATAAAACCAATACTCTTTCACTGAATTAATGCAATGAATATGAAATGAAATTAACAGGATTTAATTATATTATATACAAAATGAAAATATAATAGCAATTACATATTAATTGTAAATACCCTAGAGAGCTGTAATATATTATTAAAGAAATACAATGTATTATTAAACTAAATCCGAGAGTACACATTAATTCTGGCTAATTTTATAGTCCACAGAGTAGTAAATTATTCGGATATAATTAAAATCTACTCACAGATTAAACTGGCCAACATTTTTAATATCTCATAACGTGCTAATCCCCTCAAAGCTGCTCGAGCTTTTTTAAGCAATTTATTAAACGTTACAATGAACGGATAATTAGAAGCGAAAGCAGGTAACATCCCAGAAGAAACATTAAAATAATTGTGATAAATGGGATTCGCGTTCATAAAGCCGAATTGCGCGGTTCCCAAAAGTTTTCACCGTGAAGGTACTTGCCGTTTCGGTCGTTTACACGCGTTTATTGCCTCGGCGCGCATCTTCGTTCGCGTTTTTGGATGTCATCGCTGTTCCACGCGAGCCAATTACAAAATTGGATTACGTTCGACTCATTAATCTAAACATCGAGTCGGAACGACGCAATCGAGGTAAATGAATATTCGCGCGAGCACCGCGCCGAGATATAAAGATTGATTTACGAGTCCCGGTAGAAAAACATTTAATTGGCACACCGAATGTATTAAATAATTCCGGCCTGACGCGGTGGCTTTCACTCGGATTGTTCCTATCGCGTACCTTTAATCAAACATTCATTCCTCTGCGTCGAGCATCCATTCTAAACCGTTTTATAATCTTACTGAAATGTAAAAGCGTAATACATATATGCAATTTTAGATAAGTGATAAAATTTTATTATTCAATTCAATTTCCGTCCAAA